GGAATTAGGGTCCTTTGACTGGGTCATTTTAATAAGTACCCCCTTTGAATAATTGATCACTTTTAACATATCTATGATCAGAAACACTTACCTAATTACCCAAAAAAGACAGTTACATGTATACATACATATATACATGAATAAACAAGCATATACTAGGAACCAACTCAAATCAGATTAAGAGAAAACGGGTACCTAAGAAAACGGCGACGTCGCGAGAAAGGAGGTCGAGGAGGAGGGACTTCCGTTGTGAGGGGGTGGCTACGAAGCATATGCATAATTACGCTTATGCATTTTGCAAGTTTTGATTTCTGTAGGGGAAATGTTCACCGAAGAGAACCCACTATTAGTGCTGGGTACGTTAAATGAGTCGGTTCCAATAAACTTTGGGGGTTTTTGCTTGTTCAATTTAGGGGTGTATTTATAAATTTGTACGGAAAAAATTTTATTTAGTAACTTTTACACACTTTTAAAACTTTTACACAGTTTTAAAAAGAACGAAAATTGGTACAATGCACTCTAACATTTGACTATTTGTGAAACATTCATATCCTCTTGCGGTGCAAAACCCTTTCGATGGCCCAAACATTGTGGATTATCCATATTGTCCAATCCCATTAGTTTAGTCGTTAAATGAAGTAAAAATGGCCAAAATTAAAAAAAGTCTCTAATGGTAATACCGTCTTTTCACTTCTTAATGTGCCAAAATGAATAAATGGATACTATACAAAAGCAAGAAAATGTTGGATGTGTATGATAGCAACCACTTTTCTCTAAAATAATGCAAGGGATCCTCATCTGTGCAACCCGATAAGAAGGTTCTTGACATACAAACGACTGGTAATTAAAATTTAATTTTGATCTACTTAATTTTTGCATTTTGATTTCTGCCTTTATTTTATTTTACAACAAAGTGAAGGTCGTGGGTTCTTTTTATGGTGTGACCCACCTATGTGTCATAAATTTGTGGAGATAATACATAGTCGGCTAAGATCTAGGGATGCACATTAAGAATGCTTTTAGATTTATGAGCTAGTTTGTTTTTTTTTTTTTTTTGGTGTGGG